CATGACAAGTTCTAAGCCATGATTTCATAGATATACACAGTTTCCACCCGCATCTTCTCTCGTTGCTGTCATCATCGTTCAATAATTGCACTGTTCCTTGAATTCGTTGCAGTGCTTTGTATTTTTGCAGATATTCTCATGATCATAGCTCACTTAATTCTTCTCAACTGCCTCTTGAATTTGACAGATGAAATAACATGTTTTTATACATAAGGAAACACACAGAGAGATGCTCTGTGACCCACTCAGGGTGACACAGTTTGGGACAGTATTCCAAATGTCTAGATCAGTACAAGAGAGTGATTTCCACCTTTTATCCATTTAAAGATACAGATGTAAGAAAATGGACATTGTTTTCAGTAATTATTCAGCCATTGGGAATTATTAGTTCTTTATCAAATAAAGGACTGACCAATAGAGCGAAGGATTCATGTGTTCTCTGGAGACTGGGAACCTTGGTATTTTAGAAATATGGCAAATGGTAGAAGCAAATACAGAGTATCATCTTTTCACTCCTTCCTTTCTCACTTCCGTATGTTTTTCCTGTTGTTTCACATTAGAAAAAAATCAAGTAATGAGCAAACCCAGATAGTTGTGGGTGGACTGAAAGACTTGTGCTCCTCACTACCTATACCTACAAGCCTCAAGCAGCCACCAGAGATGCCTGTCTCTAAAACGTCACCTTCCTTCAAGGAGTAAGGTCTCAGCTGAAATTTCAGGGAGGCTGTTGAGAATTTTTTGTTTCGGCAAACCCACAGGCACGCTATTTTTATTGTCCAATTCATCTCAAACTGTCTTGACTCCTAATAAATTTCTTTTCCTTTACATAGTGAAATGTACTTCACAATCGATCAGTTCAACTTATATTTGATGAGAAAAAAAACTATTCCATTGACCATTAAAAGGATTGAACAAAATGACTTTATTTTTAAAACAGTCATTTCTATGCACTGTATTTGTGAAGGTCCAGAACAGTTAAAAGGACAAGTAACTATTGCAGATTTGTTCTAATAAAGGGGAAAACATTATTTTAATTTGACTGTGAATATAACTAGAAATACCCACAATGTACTTCAGACACGAGTTCTCCAGCTCACAATATCCCAGTTGGGACGCCTTTCAGGGTTTCTTCCCCTCTTATGGGTAGCCTGAGGCCTCCAATTGGGGCGTGGCCTGGAGAAAGCCTAAGTGAATTATCTCCTTACAGAAAATCAGTGGTGGACCATAAATGATGATTGATGCTTCTGTGTTGCCTGGGGCCTCTGCACTTGATGCCACTTGAAACTCCTGCAGGAAGTGCTGGGCACCCTACTCCGGGGTATCCTTAGAGCCCATGGCAAATTCCTCCTGCTCAGTCAGAAGGCATGCTTCCTGTGGTTTTGGGTGGTCTGTCCAATGCCTAGCTTTGAATGTGTTTAAAGGGAGAATAAAAAGCATACTTTAAATTCACAAGTAAAATATTTAAAATGGATAAAATTTGGTGTTGATAGCATAACGTGGAAATAGCATGATTTCTCTATTCACCGTGAGTATTTTGTGACCAGCAGATCTGATGCGGAATTGATAGTACCTCCCATCTCCGGAGCGGCCAGTTCCGACCAACTGTTTAAGCCCCTTTCTTACTCAGTGAGTTGCTCCTTTTAGGTCCTGTTTTGAAGGCAGTTTCTGATAGTAGATGGAGGACACATTTTTCTCTACTTGTCCATATGTCGGTACAATAATTGGCCTTTCAGAGACTCCAGGTTGGAGGTCTTCATAAGTTGGCCTCAGCAGTCTTTCTGAACCAGATGCAATGTACACACCCCAACTGGCTTGTAAAAGCAGTACATCTAATCACATAATGCCTCTATAATGTGGTTTTTTAAATTAAGTGACCCACAGGATATTAATCTGGTGGTAACAACTCCCAAGGGATGTAGCACTGGCAGACACTTCAAGAGCAACTAGTAATACTATTAAATATGATATTCATTTCATCTGAACATATGGAAATAAAAACAAGTCATGGGAGAACTTCAGTGCTCTGTACATGCTATATTGTTCATAAACCTGTCATAAATAAGTGCCTCTTAAAAGGAAATCAATTAATAAATGTGCGTTGAATTACAAAGTTTAAATATTCCATAATATAGGGATCTCTCTTCCTGCCCCCTCCACCCACATTCCCACCCCTACATGGGCCCCCTTGTTATTCAAGCTGTTATAACATTTTTCCACTCTGTGGTACATCTTGGTTTTGTTGTTGTTGATCGAGTTATTTGGTTGGCCGGCTGCTTTAAAAAAAAAGAAGAAAAAAATCTGTAAGCTATAAAATGCATCTTCTTTTTTCCTTTGTCTGTGTGTTAGAGTCTGGCCTGGCAATAGGGCCCCACCCCAAACCTCCCACCGAGAGTATGTCATACTTCTATGTGCTTGTGCATGCTCAGCTCTACCTCTTTTGAAATGATGCCCAAAACCAAGCAGTGTTTACATAAGTAAAAGGGAGTTTCACTTTTATGCTGCAATTTCTGCATGGAGCAGAGAGTTTTCCTAGCCATACCTTGCACTTTGTTCATGGGTTGACTTCTATTTTTCTAATGTGATGGTTTTATCCAGCTTTGACAACAGATTTCTTTAGGAGATTACACACCTGGAATTAACTTTTTCTGCCAAGAATTACAGTGCACCTGGAAGTACTAAATCATTTTTATCTATGCGGTAGAAACTTTTAATAATGAACTTGCCTATCTTGAACTTGACCTGTCTCTTGAGGAGAAGCAGAGTTAGGTAGGTAGGTTGATATTGTGAAGTAAATATATCCAGGGAGTGTTTACTTCTCACCTGCCAAAGTCTCACTGCCTGCACGCTACCTCCTAGGGTATCTCACTGGTTAAATGACTCTGCTTACCACATAACATATGGAAATGTGAGTAAGTGCTTTCAGCAGTGTTTGCTATGTTTACACCAGTTCCAACACTAATCCCCATGAATGTTTGATATAGTTCCCAACAGGTTTAAGTAGATGTCAGACACCATATCTATTGCCTTATGTGTTGGGCATGATACACAGACAGAGAATGATAAGGAACTGTTCTTTAGGGATTTCTTTCCTAAAGAGGTGTTTTCTAACTAGATTAAGCATTTTGAGAATTTGAAACACTTTCTATGAGTATAAATGCCACTAAGAATATAACATCAATGAATTAAAAAAATCATACAGGGAGTTTCTTATAAAATCCAGCCGCACCAGCAGTTTTGAGACCTGTGACATATTTTTATCTGTGATACATCTGTTGATGAGATCTCGTGAGGTATAGCTGCAAGGCTGTCCTTAAGAGGCTCAGAATCATGAGTTGGAAAACTTTCCACAAATTCATGCTGACATGTCAGAAAGACAATATAGTATGAGTGTTAGATATTAGTTAAATGATTTCTTTGATGGGGCAATGGGTATAGGAAATTGAGAGAAAAAATATTCCTTTTAAGTGTTGCTATCAGTTTTGGATCTCCTGTTTTTGCCGTGAAACCAGAATATGATCTCGTTTTTCTTGACATGAAGTTGTGTGGATTGAACAACAAATGCTTTTATCCTTAGGCATCCTTGCCCTGCTGTGTTGGTTATACCTAAAGTTTGCCAAACTTGTTCTGCTTATTCTTGTCAAACAAGGATAATTTCTTGGTTGCTTGATTGTCTCTGATATATATAGCGTCAGCATTTTAAAGGCCAAAAGTTGCCATAGTGACAAATTACATGAGCATAAACACTTATTCAGTTTAGGCAGAAACTCCATAAAGTAAGACAAGGAATAGAAAAAATCACAAGTATCTCACCATTTTTATTTTGATGGATTTTGGGGGGCATCATAATCATGGTATTTTAAGTGATGACAAAAATGTGTAGTTTTAAAAAAAGGAGCACATAAAATATAGATACATTGAAATCTATCTGCTACCAAATTCAAATATAAATAATTCAATTTCACAAATTAGTATTCTCTGAAACTGGTTTAATGTTATATGAATGTGACTAAATTCTACCCTGCATATAGATAAACTCATTATGTCCTTTAAGTAGTTCGAATTTCCTGATAAGCAGCAGTCAAACCGAGGAACAAGCAGAATTAGTAGCCAAGTCTAATAAATGACTGGGAAAAATTGTATCTGTCTCATCCTCCTGGTTCCCACACACTCTGGTTACATCATTACTTAGCTTGTAAACTCAGAGGCCAATTGGGCTTCAGAGCTTGGGTCAGGTGACCAAAACATCAAAATGAGTCTGAAACTCTACCCTAAAGATGGGGTTTCAGCAGGGGCCTCGGGATAGCTGACTCCTCTGCGGCTGCTGTGCAATTTTCGTATTTTATTTCACCTTTGCTTTCAGGCTTAGCTCTTGGTCTCACAGATTGACGGCTGAAGCAAACTTGTTGGTGTGGGTTTTTCTGTGCAGGTGCATGAGCAAAATTATTTCCTGTACCACAGACTACACTCAGTTATGTAATACTTGAAAAGAAAACAACAATTGGACTTTCCCCCATGAATTAGTTTTCGTTAGCAGGGAGAATTCTAACCCCTTCCTTTTCCTTTGATCTTTTTTGTTTGTTTTTGAAAAGTGTTTTGGGTTTTATTCTAGTTTAAGAAAATGATTTGATGTCTAAAGCTACAAAACTCAAAAGCCAAGTTTATCAGGTCCACAGGCAGCAGCACCCTGACGATGAGCTGAAATGCTGTGTTCCTCTGAAAGGAACGGAATGTGTAACTCAATCACCTTGCTAAGGTTTCACAGGGCAAGTATAGTGATGACAACAACTGCTTGTTTTCTGCAGATGTAGAAAGGCGTTTTTTTTACATGTGCAGGAAGCAGCAAAAAACCTGATCTTAGGGGATAGATGGGTTGCCTTGCAAGGAATAAACCAAATAATCCTTAAAGTTGTAGTAACATGTACAGAGCCAAATGCTTGACACCCCTCTGTACAAATGTATTTTCATGTTCAGGTTTACCTTTCTCTTGATTGCATCCGTAGGTGCTGTGATTATTTCTGGCTGAGAATTTCTCCCAAACTCTATTGAAAGTAAAACCTGCCAGAAATGGAAAAATCCATTGGAAAACCTTCTTCGTGCGTTGTTATCAAGATATTCAAAGACTCCTCCGTCTGGGGAGCAGGGATGAGGCAGCAAAGAAGGATGCAACTCAGGTGAAAATTAATTTGTCGAAACCAAGCCAAACAAAGCAAATTGCCCTCTGAAGCCATTGTTCCTAAATGAAAGGGTTACATGTAAGATATATTTCATGATTTGTACAACAAACATTAGCATACGCTAATTATTAAGCTAGATAGGAGGATACAAGGGAGTGATGGGGAGGATGATGACAATGATGTGAACAGCTCGTGTTCACGGAATGATGCTATAGAGTGCACCGTGCTCAGGGCTTCCCCATGTTCGTCATTACTCCTCTTCCTTCTGGTAATCCAGAAAGGGTGGTTATTATTATCTCCCCTTTAATGAGGCAAAACTAAGGATCAGAAAAGTTAAACAATTTGCTCAAGATCACGCAATTGTTATCTGTTGGTCCATAATGATAGAGTTCCAGCCTATGTCTGATTTAGCCTGTGACCTGTGTCCTCAGCCACTGTCCCACATTGCTTCTCTGAACAATTCTTTCTTTGTCCTTACAGCACTTTTAATCTCATGGTGGAATAAACTGGATAAAGAAATGGTTGAAATTACATGCGTGAAAACATGGATGAGACTTAGTACTTGAGGAAAGTGAAAGTTTCACAGAAGAAATGGTTTGGCAGTGAGAAGGATGGAGGGTGGGTGGTCCATGAGTACTTGGTTATTTTTTCCCCGGCAGGCAATTCCTCTGAAATAACGGATAACTGCTTCTATCCTGCAAAACTATCACTGAAAGTGCTGTGTAAGACAGAGTGAACTCCAGTCCCCACAGGTGCCTGCCAAAGAAAGTAACTAGGTGCTCACATATTTTCCAGTACAAGTGCTTCATTATTAATTCATGGTCCAGGTCCTCGGTACATGCTGTTACTAATATTAGGTTTCAGCAGTGAATAATGAACAGGAGCACTGGACTGGATGTCTTAACATTTTTTAAACAATGTTTGCAGTGCTAAATTCTATTTCTAGCTTAATTGGGGTCTTTACCTAAACAAGAGGAGGGCTCTGTAGTGTTGGGGAGGCATAATTTTCCCACAGCTTAGCAACGGAAAAGGTAAGAGTCAGCGTGATTAAAATGCTGCAGAAGGTTGATGCAGATAAGGCTTTCCCCCGTAGGTCTCAGTTTATTCTTATATTCGACAAGAAAATGAGAGACCCCCTGAGTTAGGGTTCCAGCTAGAAAGTTTGGACCAGCTCTTTGCCTTGAAACTGCATCCCTTCAGGAAAGGAATAAGGAGGAGAACTCTCTCTGGTGGGGACATGGTCCCTACATGTGGTCCCCAGAGCAGGTCCCACTTACCCATTAGGCACAGTGCCTATGAGAACTGTGGTGCATTTAGTGGCTCATATAAAAATCCTCATATTGATTCTGTTTAAAATAAGAAGAAAATGAACATAATAATAATGAATATATAATAATGACCCCAGCCTGGTTTATTTCATCTTTGCACCCATGCAGTCATAAAGTAAAACTTCTAATCATTCTCATGGAGGAAGGGAGCCATAACGGCCAAATGCCTAGGTTCACGAAAATCCTCATGCAGCCCTGCCCCAAGTAGGCCACCTACCAGTGGCACTGGGTGGGGGTGGAGGCTGCTAAACAAAGTAAATTATTTCATTAGAAAACCTCTTCCTTACGATTGTTTTCTGTGGATCTTAATGAGAGTCAAATACCTATATGGTTGACAAGAATGAAGATCACACATATTTCCTCTGGGTTCCCGATAGTGCCCTGCTTGGTGTAGGCTTAGTATTCAATAGTTAGTCATATTTAATTGAAATTGATTTACAGAAAAAGCACAGTGATGTATTTATTCACTAAGTGTAATAGCTTAGCCTTTTACTGAAGGCTAAACCATGTGCTGGGCACAAACTGTACCAGGTGTTGGGGATATAATGAGAAATGAGACAGACATTTATTTTGTCTGAACGCAGAGGGCTTCAGAGAAGGACAATGAGAAGAAACACAAAAATGACATTTTCAAGAGGTTAGGGCATTGGTAAAGGTGAGGTGGCGGAAATCCCTGATCCCTGACTTTTATTTTAGAAATGTGTCAACCTCCCAATTAAAAGAGATTTACTTTTATGGCATCGAGACACAAGCTAAAGCATAGATATAAGAAATGGAGTTACAACATTGTATTTGGTGATTAAGATCCTTGAGCTATTTAAAAATACAGGGTATTTAATTAAAACTATAAGAATGTTTAGTGGGAACTGCCACAGCTCAACTGACAAGGTAACTGGCTTTTTTCAGAGTTGGTGAGAGTTGTCTCTGTGAAGGGGCTGAAGTCACAGCTGGGCAGATTTCTCCTGGCTGTTGCTGGGCCTGCTAGGGTTCATGTTCAATTTCGAGACTCGACTGATAGAAAAATCAGTTTTAATGGGGGCTGTATGAATCACTGAGTTTAATTTCTTTTAATTATAGTTGACAAACAGTATTAGTTTGAGGTATACAACATTGTGATTCGACTTCTTTATAACTTACGAAGTGATCTCCTGATAAGTTTAGTACCCATCTGACAACATACGGTTTTTACAATTTATTGAATATATCCCCTATGCTGTACTTTACATCCTGCAACTGTTCTCATAACTGGTAATTTGTACTTCCTAGTCCCGTCACCTTTTCCACCCATCCTCCCAATACCTCCATCTGGCAACCATCAGTTTCTTTTTCTGTATCTATGTGTTTGTTTCTATATTGTTTGTGTGTTTATTCCATTTTTTAGATTCTACATATAAGTGAAATCATATGGTATTTGGTTTCCTCTGTCTGAATTATTCACTTAGCATAATTTCCTCTAGGTTCATTCATGCTGTTCTAAATGGCAAAATTCTATTATTTTCTATGGCTGAATAATATTTCATTGTGTGTATGTACCACTTCTTTATACATTCCTCTATTGATGGACACTTAGGTTGCTTCCATAGCTTGGCTATTGTGAATAACGCTGCAAGGAACATAGGGATGCACATATCTTTTCAAATTAGTGGTTTGGGTTTCTTGGGTTTATCTTGGTAGATAAATACCAAGAAGTGGAGTTCCCGGGTCACCAGGTAATGCTCTTTTTAATTTTTTGAAGACCTCCCATACTGTTTTCCATAAGGACTGCACCAGTTTACAATTCTACAAACAGTGCATGAGGATTTCATTTTCTCCACATCCTCGCCAAAACTCGTTTGTTGATTTATTAATAACCATTCTGACAGGTATGAGGTGATATCTCATTGTGGTTTTAATTTGCATTTTACTGATGATTAATGATGTTAAGCATATTTTCTGTTTATTGGCCATCTATAATGTCTTTGGAGAAATGTCTGTTCACGTCCTTTTATTTTTTAACTTGGTTTTTCTTTTTTTCTTCTTTTTTGTGTTAAGTTGTATAAGTTGCTTATATATTTTGGGTAGTAATCCCTTATCAGATGTATCATTAGCATATATAGTCTCCTATCAGTAGGTTATCTTTCAGGTTTTTTTGATGGTTTCCTTTGCTGTGCAAATCTTTCTTTTTAAAGGCTATTTATTTATTTTTAAAGAGAGAGAAAAGGAGGGAGAAAGAGAGAGAGAGAAGCACTGATGCATGAGAGAAACATGCATCAGTCTCCTCTCTCATGCTCCCCAGCAGGGGACTGGCCCGCAACTGAGGCGTGTGCCTGGACTGGGAACCAAATCGGTGACCTTTTCCCCCTGCAGGATGATACCCAACGAACTGAGCCACACCAGTCAGGCCTGCAGAAGTTTTTTATTTGAGGTAGTCCTATTTGTTTAATTTTTCTTTTGTTTTCCTTGCCTAAGGAGACATATCCAAAAAATATTACTAAGATCAATGTGAAAGAGTTTACCACTTACGTTTTCTTCTAGGAATTTTTTGATTTTGAGTCTTACATTTAAATCTTTAATACATTTGGGTCTATTCTTGCATAGAGTGTAAGAAAGTTATCTAGTTTCATTCTTTTTCATGTTATCTGTCCAATTTTCCAAACAGCATTTATTGAAGAGATTGTCTTTATCACCTTGTATATGCTCACCTCCTTTGTCATATATTAATTGGCCATATAGGCATGGGTTTACTTCTGGGCTCTCTGTTCTGTTCCATTGATCTGTATGTCTGTTTTTATGCCAGTACCATGCTGTTTTGATTATTATAGTCTTGTAGTATAGTCTGGCATCAGGTAGTGTGATGCCTCCAACTTTCTTTTTCTTTTTCAAGATTCCTTTGGCTGTTTGTGGCCTTTCGTAGTTTCATTGTAAATTTTAGGATTATTTGTTCTAGCTCTGTGAAAAGTGCATTGCTATTTTAATAGGAATTGCATTGAATCTATAGATTGCTTTGGGTAGTATGGACATTTTAATGATGTTATTTCTTATTCACGTGCATAGTGTATGCTTCCATTTATTTGTATCTTCTTTTGAAGGTTTTATGGTTTATGTTTTATGGTTTTTTGAGCACAAGTCTTTTACCTCTTTGGTTAAATTTATTCCTAGGTATTTATTCTTTTCCATGCAATTATAAATGATACTGTTTCCTTAGTTTCTTTAGTTCATTATTGGTATATAAAAATGCAACTGATTCCTGAATATTAATTTTGTAGTCTGCTACTTTACTAAATTCATTTGTTAGTTTTAGTAGCTTTTTTGGTGGAATTTTTAGGGTTCTCTTTATATAGTACCATGCCATCTACAAATAATTAGTTTTACTTTTTCTTTTCCATGAATCATTAGGTTTTCAGTAAGCACCAAGCTCTATTCATTAGTGTTTCATAATGAGGCTTCAGACAACATGTGGATCTTGCCTGACCCATTCATGTAACAAACACTTATTGAGCCCCTGCTACATATTAGGCTCTGTGCTCCCTGTCTGGTTTCCAGAGAGGGACAAAACGGGCTAATTTCCTGCTTTCATGGAGTTTACACTCTAGTTGGAGAGGGACAGAAAATAAAAATTTAAGTAATGGACAAGGTAATTGCAGGTTCTGAAGTCCCATTTCAGTGGCTATCTATCATTTTTGCTTTTTG